TATATATATATATATTAGGAAACTCTATGACAAAGTGTAAAATATTTTAGTGTGACGCGTTTCGTTCTTTAGGGCATCAGCGTGATGGTTACGTTGATGCGACTAAACATGAAGAAAAGGGGGCGCTGAGAATTTTAAATTTGAATCAATTTTGTTTAAATATATTTTTTAACCGATTTCATTTAGATTCTATTTCTGTTTTGTTTCCATCACTTTTGATATTAAATATCTCACACGGTGAAAATGGTTCGGCTAATATACGGGAACTGTTGTAAGAACATGAACACAAATTTACTGTGGATGATCTAGCGATCAAAGCATTTTCTATATACTTTCGTCTTGTTTTCTCTTTTAATTGAAATAGCCTTTTTACATGAAAATTATGGTCAGCCTCATAACGCTGATCCAGTAATGCATTTAACGTGTTGTTTTGTAGAAGGTCCCTTTTGTGTTCATATTGATATTGTATTGAAATTCCTTCATGTTTTTAGTCGAGACACCCAGTAGTAAAGCTCAATTGGCATAAAAATATTTGCAGAAAAAAAAGAAGGAAACTTTTTCAAATATTTTTTGCTGATCAGACTATTGTTCAGGTTTTGTATCGTTTTTTTTTTTTTATGCAATTTCCTTTTGTGTCATTCTGAAAGCCATTTTTTTCGCATCATTCAGAAAGTTTAAAATATATTTCTTTCACTTTTTAATTTACACCTTCCTTAACACCTGAAATAAAAGAATAAATGTCAATACTTCATACTGTTATATACATTTAGGTTACGTTTTATTGAATAATATATATATATATATATATATATATATATATATATATATATATATATATATATATGAGAGGAGAGAGAGATAGATAACCAGAGATAGCATAACACACACACACACACACACACACACACACACACACACACATACATATATATATATATATATATATATACAGACACGTACAGGCGTACACACACACGCGTATACCTACACATGCGCCCAAACACACAGAAAGAAAAAATCGGCCTAACACCAAAAAAAGAGCATAAATTATTTTGAACTGCACATACATACACACATGCAGACAGACACACACACACACACACACACACACACACACACACACACACTTGTGTAATTGTACAGCAAACCTTCTTTTATAAATGTTTCATTAAAAATGACTGACAAGTTACTTTCCTTGTTGGCTGCCGGGTCATGTAATTTAATAATTGTGCATTTGGGCAGCAACCTTTCTTTTATACATGTTTCAGTAAAAAACGACCGAAATGTTACTGCGGTTACTTTTTCTGTTGGCTGCCGGATCATGCAATTTAATAATTTTGTATTTGGGCAACAATACCTCTTTTATACATGTTTCATTAAAACCGATTGCCAAGGTACTGCGGTTAAGATTTTTTGCCTATTTTTTCTTATGCTCTTATAATTTTTCTTTTATCTTCTGCACATAAATTATATATAAGAATTGTTCAAATGTTCTATTTGTCTGACCGCCTTTCGTCTATTTTTTTTAGCCTGTATCAAGGATGATATTATTTTTACTTTTAACTGAATATATTGATTTTTTTTATTATTTCGAGTTATGGTAATATTCTTATTTTGCAAACACGGCCAGCAAGGGGTTACAGAGAGTTGGAGCGAGAACAAAGAGGAGTGATAGAGGAAAGGATGAAGAGAAGGATAGGGGATAGATCAAGACATCTGGAGACGTCGATTGACATTACATTTGAATAATTGGAGATTATAGCTATCAGGAAAACAAGAAATGGGTAGGGAGTTCCACAGGCGAGAAGTGTGAGACATGTAGCTGTTGGAGTAGAAGAGACGGCTACATTTAACAGTTTCAACAGTGAAAGGGTGAGAGCGAGATGCCAGCCTAATTGAACTCTTATATATATATATATATATATATATATATATATATATATATATATATATATGTGTGTGTGTGTGTGTGTGTGTGTGTGTGTGTGTAACTCCAGTCATAAAATAATATTTTCACATACACACATTATATATATATATATATATATATATATATATATATATATATATATATATGGTTTAATAATGACAATTGGGAAAAAAATCAACAATCCATTGGGTTAGAATACTTGGATGAGTATCATCACGGAATTGGTGAGTAACGGCGCCATATCGAGTCTATTTAGTTTTCTTCTTCGTCACCAAGCCCGTTGGTATGATGCATGCGTTGTATCGAAACGGTCCGGGGTTCGAATCTCTCGGTAGTGGATGCGCACTGCTGAAGAGTCCCAAAATAGGTCGAAACAACGTTCAGTACTTTCTGCATTCTGTTAAGGATTCTTCTAAACTCGATGAAATACTATAATGATAGTAATATAATGATATATATATATATATATATATATATATATATATATATATATATACGGAATAAATTCCAACAACCAACAATTACTATTCTTAAAAGAGTGCTCAATACAGAGTAGAGCAGATATAATTATTTATTTAAAATCATAACATAAATATGTTATAAATTCACTACAAAAATAACCATTTTGTTTCAACTCCTCCGGTGTCTTATCAAGTGATGATGTTGAATGTTGATTATATATATATATATATATATATATAGAATATATATTTAAGGTAGAATATATTTTAAGGTATTTATGGGTTAAAGTGATATCATGTTAATATAAAAGTGGACATTGAAGTGAACACCCAGAGGCGACAGTCTGTTTCATGTTTAAATGTAATCGCCCTGCCATGACGATTGCTTTTTAATCATGAAACAGACTGACGTCTCTGGGTGTTGACTTCAATGTCCACTTTCACACATACCCACACACACACACACACACACGCACGCACGCACGCACACACACACACACACATAAGCTTTTATATATTTAATTTTATTATTAACAAATATTTCATTATTACTTGAGTTAGTACACACACACACACACACACACACACACACACACACACACACACACACACACACACACACATATATATATATATATATTAATAATCTTATTAATATAAAAAATTATACTCGTCCGGAAAAACTTTTAGTTTTTGATATGTAAATAAACAGACCAATACCCAAGGCCAAAAAATGGTACAAATAAAGAAAGAACCAAGAACATGTACGTCAGCCGAAGACAATCGTCTAGCATCCAAGTTCAGAGTCCAAAGAAAAATAAACCGATACGAGTAAGTAAAATAACTAAATAAAGTGCTCAATACGCTAAGTAGAGCAAACCTAATTAAACCTAAAGAGTCAGACAAACCTACCAAGGTTTCACCTCCGCGGATCATCAGGGGATACTGACAATTCGAGTAGGTGAAACCTGGGTAGGTTTATCTGGTTCTTTAGGTTTATATATATACTAGCAGTAGAGCCTGACGTTGCCCGGGGATGTAACAGTAAGAGATAGATCAAGTATCGACCATCATAAAGACTGAAAAATAAAATTGACAAAGATTATTGTTTAAGGTTGACGGACACGCATGTCTTAATTAGTTTTTTTTTTTTTTTTTATACAAATTGGTCAAACC